AGAAATCTTATACATTCATGAGCAGGTGCTAAACAAATATGCTAAACCAGAGCGGAAGGAGAGAGAGGCTGCAGGGAACTGGTCTGGCAGCCAACAGGTTTGTGTGAGTAGTTCTTTGTTATTTTGGACCCTAGACGTAATGAGTACTTAGCCCTTGCACTGCGGGGGTAGTCCCAATGCAAGGGTTATGTTTACTTTGCCTGCGTTCTTCTTTAATATATAATTGCAAGCTAAACCTAGAAAAAAAGGGGCATATTTATAAAGCAGTAAATGTGACATTCACTAAATATTCACTGCAGGTGAATCTTTCAGGTCAATGTGTTCTAATTTACAGTGAATGATTCTCCACGAGTAAATGTTTGGTGAATGTAACATTCACTACTTTATAAATATGCCTCATAGTTTTTAATCCATTAACACACATTGTTAAGACCGTTTACATTGCTGGCCCCATGGCTACAGAAGCTGAGCTGGAGTAGTGCATTAGTCACGTGTTGATGTTCCCTTGTGTATGTATTGCATAATAAGAGATTCCAGAGGGTCTCTTGTTTTTAAGAAAACACTGTGTGGTAGGCTTGCAGTGACATCAACAAGGTTCTACACTATGCAGTGCTAATACGTTGTCCTCCTGGTGTTGTGTTAATAGCCCTTTCGCTGCCAAGGACGTACGTCGTACGGAGCTACAAAAGTGCTTCCAGCTGGCCAGCTCAGCTTCAAGTTCGAGTCAAACATGAGTTTGGGAAAACATGAATGCATTTACTGGCCTTTGAACTATGGCCAGGTGGCTTAGAATGACCAATAATACAGGTCTTTTTATGTGCCAACCTATTCCCCATATTAATCAGGGTTTCCAGCAGCCCTTTGTCTGTGTATGTTGGGGACTTGGAGTAACTAGAGAGAGGTGACAGTGTGTTTGCAGAGAGAGATGATTGCTGCTATATAGTACTATAAAGTGTTATTAACCATGCTGTATTGTGCTACAATACAGTGAATTGCAGTGTGTAATTGCAGTAACCTGAATTATTTTACATTTTTGCTTTTAGGTATGGATACAATTTAAATTACGGTCTAATGCTGCTTACATACAGTGCATCAACTGTACAATATTTCTGGCTATTGTCTCTGAATTAATACACGCTAATTATTATTTCATGATAAAACCCACCTCGTCTCTCCCTCTTAAATTGTGGCCTAATAAATCTGCTTACATTCTGTGCAACTACTGCATATTATTTCTGGCTTTTGTCTCTAAAATAATACACTGTAATTTTTCATGATAAAAACTATTTGCTCTCTTCCTCCTACCCTAAGGCCAAATCAAGCTGCTTGCTTACTCTCTAGCTATTGGACTACATGTGTGGCGATTGTCTCTGAAATATTACACTATGGGGTCTATTCACAAAGCTGCCGAAGGATCTGGCCGTAGCTTCGGCCGATCCTTCGGCTGGCTTCGGCAGTTTTTCAGCCAACCCAAGTCATTCAAACATAGCACAAAATATTAAAAGAATGAAATGAATACATGATTAAGAAGGTAAATACTTAGAACTGTTTATCTGATTGTTTTATGTGAAATAAATTTTGGGCATATTGAACTGCAGTTTATCAATTTGATGTTCACTATATTTATGTAAATAATTTACAATTCCTAGAACATCTACTTACAGTTGGCAATAGTAGTTTCTTGAAAGTGCATATAAACCTGTTACAAAGCAATTTGCCAGTGCCCCTGCTGCTGAAAACCTCCAGCTGACGATTTCTAAACACAGCAACAGTGGTGGGTTGGTGACATAAGTGCTGATCAAGGGTAATGTTGAAGCAGAGCCAGTCAGCCAATCAGTGGCTCTACCAGATTTCACTTTTTATGTCCTACTGCTGCAGTTGTCCTTAGGTACCAGAAGAGCCAACAGGTAAGTATAACAAAACTTACAGCACACAATAAAATAAATATGTATTGAATTTCCATAATTTCTTTCTGACTCCTAATAACCGTATCAATCTAAACGTTTGTAAATGTGTTTATTAAAGATACCCATAGGATGTACTTCCTTAATGCACTGACACAATTTCACTCAGCCCTGTGAATATGCACTTCCTAGTGTCAGTACTCAGTACTAAAAAAGCCTACCGTCTGAATTATAGCATCTGAACTTCCCACAATGTAACATCATCATTGCTCGCTGTAAACCAGTGCATAATGGGATATAAAATCAAAATTGCATCACATCAAGCAGCAGGGAAAGAGACGCAAAGCACAGCGGGAATCCGGGAAGTTTTTGGAAGTGATGGGCAGACAAGAAGGCAGCACTCACTACACAAAAGGGATTTTTCAAGTAATCTTGAATTGAATTATCAAAAAAAAGTGTTGCATGTCTTCCTATTACAATGCTGATGTTAAAACAAGATAGTATATACTGGGACTTCAGAAACTCCTTTAACATTTAAGCTGTAGACATTGGGGAGGGGGAGCAAAGTGGTGTCAAATAATTTATAACATGGTTTTGGCCCACTTTATAGAAAGGTTTGAAAATCTGGCATTTTCCTTTGACAATAACATGCAGCGATAAAAATATTTACATTCTGTGTGTCTTTCACATGTAGTGCAATAAAACAGGTGTGTTGCGCTGTCTTACCAAGGAACATTAGGCTGCCACACTAAATGAATGTCACAGCAAGGCAGTGCGCTGGGAAGGGCGTAAAAATGCGACTGGTCGCAAGATGGCTGCGGCGGCTCTGATCACACTTGTCAGCGCTCCCTCTCTCTCCTGCCGGCTGCTGCAGCTTCAGATCAGCCTGGAGGAGAGAGAGCGCTGACAGGTGTGATCGGAGCCGCCTCTCTGAGCAGAGGAGCGGCAGGGATGCTGCCGCCGCCGCCGGCTCCCCTGCAG